CACACACACACACACACACACACACACACACACACACACACACACACACATGAAACGTGCACAGCTTGAAAAGGAAATAATGGCAGATAGTGCAGTAATCTTCCTGCATTGTTTAACTCGTTGAAGACAGAGAGACATAAATAAACAAACAAACAAACAAACAGATGTGGATAAGACAGGAAATAAATATTAAAATATTTACTTCTTATCTTCTCTCAGCTGTTTGTTTTTACTGCAACTTAAATGTGTCGCTCACATCTGCTCCACCGGCGGGGGCTCAGAGGGGCTCAGAGGACGAGCAGGAAGTGAGCGTCTCTTCTTTCTGAACCAGAGAAAAACCTGCTTCAACCTGCTACCTGCAGCTACAGGTGTGTGTGTTTACAACACAGGTGTGTGTGTTTACAACACAGGTGTGTGTGTTTATTAGAACTGTCACAATCAACAACAAATCAATTAATCCTACGATATCTGAGGAAGATAAATGAAAATGAAGACAATAATTTTCATTTTCTTCATGTCTCCCTCTTTTACTTCTCAGCGTAGAGAAGTCAGGTGTTTGTAGGGACGGTACCTTTGACATCTGAATCCATTCAGTACCAATATCTGGTACCTGGGAAACGGTACCGGTACTTAACGGTACCAATTTTCATTACTTTGTGTGTGTTTTTTCAATAATAAACTTTTATTTTTTTATTTAATATATTTTTCAATATATAAAATGTAACAAATATCAAGACAACATCCAGCTCTTTGTGTTGTAACATCAGTTGTGTAACTTATATCTTTAAGGTGAAAACTGTTGAAAACAACAGACTGTTTTGTCTTATTGTACAAATTAAAATCCAGCTCCACGTGTTTCTGTTGATGTCATTTCCCCACTAGAAACATTATGTGATGGAGGTCCATGGAAGGTAAATAAGTTTAAATCAAATAAGAAAAAGAGGATGGAGTTAAAATAAATAAAAGATATTTAAGCTTCGTTCTGAACGTCCAAAAGCTCAAACAGTTCAAGTCAGCAGCTTGTTCTTCAGGTCAGACGTGTTCAGACTGTCAGGAAGCTCCTCTGTTGTTTCCTCTGCTGCTCTCTGTTTAATGGAGGATGAAATAAAGAAAGTGGTGTACTTTATTTACTTTGAACAAGTGAACGTCATGTTCACAAGATAATTAATCCAGCAGATAATTAATCCAGCAGATAATTAAGAGGCGGTCTGTTCGATGAGTTTTACTC